AGATGTGAAGTTCCTCAATTACTTTTGGATCTGATGAATAAATGCTTAGACGCAGAACCTCAAAACCGACCAACTGCCGAAGAATTAGCTAATACGCTGAAGATATTTTTTGGCAATTTGAAAGATGAAACTGAATTATCTAAGCAAGTTAAAAATATTAAGGACATAAACAAAGGTTTTTTAACATATAATCAAGTCAAATCGGCACAATTAAAATATCAGACACATCCACAAGCTATTTATACAAGTCGTTTTTTGAATCTTTCAAAACTCCCTAAACCAGGTAATACCATTTATCATATTTTTTAAAAATTAGTAATATGTTATTAATTGCAAAAATTTTCGAATCTGCCTATATAGTAAATGCAGCAGATAATGCAGGTAATGATATTTATTTTCTTAAATTGATTTTAAACAGTAGTTTTAGTATATTTACTGTATATGTATGTATATATTTTAGCAAGTCAGCCCAGTCAACGCATTAAATATGTTGAGGTTCCCGAAGGTAAGTAATATTTGATTTAATTATAAATAACCAAATTTATTGCTTATTTTTATATTTGTATTTAGATTATTAAATCAAGTAAAAAGAAGTTATTGAATTGAAAGCGTTCTATTTATTATTGACATGCTACAATAATTCAGTAATTGATTATATATCTTTATGTATGTAAAGTGGTTCACAAACAAAGTTAGCCTGATTTATAGCTAGTGTTGGATAGATGTAGATTGTTGGTGAAAAATGGTTGTTAGTGAGTTCTATTAAAAATTTAACCCCTTTATTAAGGAGTTAAAGTACCTGAGCTTTTTATAAATATATTATAAAGCATAAAAATCAATCAATTGAATCGTCAAGTAACATTAAAAGCCCTATTTCGATTGGTCTTTTGTGAAATCACAAGAATTCTGTATATTACGATTACTACCTTTTCACATTTGTAATTCCGTACTATCAAGTTTTGAAACTTATTATTACACAATGAATGTACTCAGATAATGTATTATTAACTAACGAATTTATAAAGATTTTTTAAATAAAAGTTGATTTTGAAAATTTATTTATGTATTTTATTTTACGAAAAGAAAATGGACGATAAAAAATACATATGAATATTATTTTAAACCTTGGATATAAATACAAGAATGAAGTAGAAAAAAGAAAATAAAGCATTTTTTTGAAAATTGCAAACTTAGGTAATTCTGAAGGTTAAATTTAATGTTGGATATAATGTGCAACATATAAGTTCGAAGAAAAAAATGAAGACGAAATCGCAAAAACTCGTAATTTTCTGCGAAACCTACTTTTCTGTTATTAAAAGTTTTCAGACAAAAATTTAGCTATATCATTTCTGTTCTATTAACACAAATATTGATGATTAGACGAAAATTGGGATAGGACCACCAATTTTTTGCGCCAAAACCGTGTTAACTAGTAAGATACCAATACGTTTCTAGCAAATTGATGTTGAAAAATAATGCAAAGTTTCGCTAATATAATAACGTATGTACGTACCGTATTAAATTTTTGATCTATTAATGTATGTTTGGGTTAGGCTGGCACGTGTTAAAATGTTGTGGCTGGTACCGGCACTGGTAAAAGTTCTGGGAAAAATTCAGGCCACTTGGACACTATTTCTTCTCGACACAGTTCCAACAGTGCCTGGCCTGGCACAATGCAATTATGCCCGGCATGTTTACTTACAGAACCCTAATCGATAAAATTTAATTAATGGAAAGTACATTTAATTGTTCAAACGTATTTGCCATAAAAGAGAAAGCTTTAAATAACGAAAAATGTTCAGTGAGTTTATAATTTCGGCCAATAATTTTTTTTTTGCAGGTTTATCAAAACTTTATAGCCATTAAAGTAAGTAAAGCTACAGTATTATTCAAACATTTTCGTATTTGTTATGGATCTCATTATCGACACTAACGTGTTGCTATTATGTTTTTTTTTACTATTATACTAAAACTTTCTAGCAGATAACCATTAAAAAATAATTCTTTCAGAAATATATTATGTTATTATCCTTGACAATTTGTGTATTAATACATGGAGATTGGTAAATACGTAAATAAACAACAGAGGCTGCTGAGTTGATATTCTTTATTAAAGTTTAACTAAAAGCCAACATTGCTAAAAGTTGAAAGAATGCCAATTGGATTAATGAAAGTCAAATGTTCAGAAATTAAAAATTAAAAATTGTGGGTACCAGAAATAAATTGCTACTAAGAATTTACCAGTTTATAAACAATATTTACAAAACGGAATTACAATATACAATAATTGATTTTTTTTGTATAAGTACGATATCAGATCCAAGTAAAACGGAGCGATGGACCAATATCAAGAGAGCAGAACAGTACGGCACAGCAAGAACAAGATCAAGAGTGTTGAAAAACGCAACCACATCCGTGACTCTTTCATTTCCTATATAAACACATATATTTTATAAGCGCATTTTTCTAAAAACTAACTATATATATCGATATTATTACTGTATATAATAAAATTTGACCTTTATAATTGGCACACTTCTTTATAATCTCTAAGTCACACTTTTTTGTATCCAAGAGTGTGACTATAGAGAGGTTTGACTGCATATCTATTTTTTCTTTTAAAATGGATGCCCACACTATTAAATAATAAAATGTCTAACTTGCGTCGCACAAATCTGGAAGCGTAATTTTCAAGAGTCTACTCTGACTCTATTTCACGCAATTTAGAAATGGTTATTGTCTACTTGCAAAATGGTATGAAGAATAACGTAACAAGTTAAACATTAATATTATAAAAGAATTCTATTTAATAGTTTTATGAAAATATATACATGAAAAGGAATAACTAAAAAAAATTTAAAGAACTGCCTTTATCCTTTATAACAAAATAAACTATTGTGCTTTTCCTTGGATAGCAGCGTACAATAAAAATATATCCAAACAAACAATAATAAAACAAATAACACTCGACATGATTATTAACCAAACTGGGTTCGTAAAATCCAACAAATATTTTTCATCCACCGAAGTTTGCGGTAATTTATTACCATTATATTCAGCAGATGTCAAAGGAGTTAATAATACAACCCTGCCTTCCTCACTTTCGTAATCCCTTTCACTCCTAGGATTAAAAGCATTTCTAACATCAACAGTCATACATTTTTTAACACTAGTAAAATAAACCAAGGGTATCATAGCGAATGGTAGTTGAACACACAATGCTACTTGACTGGCGACTAACATATCTGTTAGTCCATTTTGTCCATTTATAATTGCGATTAACATCGCGGGAGTAATAGCAACAGCACGTGTGAGTAATCGTCTTATCCATGAAGGTATTACCCAACCAAGGAATCCTTCCATAACAACTTGTCCTGCTATTGTAGCAGTAAGGGTCGCAGATTGTCCAGATATTAATAAAGCTAAGGCGAATATAATACCTGCGGATCCTCCAAGATATTTTGTTAATAAATTATGAGCATCAAATAAACCAGCTACCCTTGCTGATGTACCATTATTCTTGTAATAAAAGTTTGTTGCTGCAACAATTAATATCGCAGAATTTATAAATAGAGCGAATGCTAATGCTACAGAAGAATCTAAAGAAGATAATTTTATAGTTCTGTTGGTTATTTTTTTGATCATCATCTTGACAGAATTTATCCTTTGATCAGATTCAATTTGATTAACTTCTAAATTATTATCTAAATCATTCAATATTTTTGATTCTTCACGATATTTTCTAACTTTGATTAAATGTGAATGTAAATAAAGATTATGTGGCATAACAGTTGCACCAATTATACCAACAGAAATAAATAATTCTCTTGAATTTGTGAATAATTCAGAATTAGGTAAATATCCTGAGAATACAATACTTGCAATCGGTTTGGAAAGAAATAATTCTACTATGAAACAAGCTCCAATTATACTGACCAATACCATTACGAGAATTTCTAAAATTCGAGAAGATTGTAAATTATTTTCACGATAGATTAATAATATAATCATAACGTCACATGCAGTTATCGCAACTCCCAATGGTAAAGGAATATTAAAAAGAATATTTAAAGCAATAGCGCTGCCTATGACCTCTGCCAAGTCTGTTGCAATAATTGCAAGTTCACATAATATATATAAAAAGTATCTTAAATATGTTGGAAAAAAGACTCTGCAAGCTTGTGCGAGATCTAAATTATTGTAAATATTGAATTAAAATAATATAATTAAAAATTTTTTTTTAAAAAAAATTCAAATTTTATGTACCCATTCCTGTGACTGTGCCTAATTTAATAGCCAAACATTGTAATAACATTGCGAAAATGTTTGATAATAAAATTATGAAAAGAGGCGAATATCCGAAATTAGATCCACCTAAAATTGGGTTTATGTTCAGGAAATGTTCTTCCAAAATCTTAAAAATATCGAATATTAGGCCATGCAAACAAATAAAGTTGCTTCTCGTTACCCGGCCAGGTAACTTTTTTAGAAAAGTTAAAATTTTTTATTCTTGTATGAAAATAAAATTTTTTAAATGAAATAATTTTGTAAATATAACATTTTTGCCGGCCGGCCGGGTCCTATTTTTCCATATAACGAGAAACAACTGCATGGCCTTACTTATATTTTACTACCTGCTAGATCGGTCGCCCAATTTCCGGGGTCAAAGTATCCAACTGCGATAACTATATCCTCAAAAAAAAACAAAAAACAACGATCAATAACATTTTTAATCAAATAAGAAAACGATTTAAACAAACTAGCTCTTAATCAAAGATATTTACCATATCCAGGTCTATTAAAATACATAAATTCAATAAACGCAGTTATATATTATATACATATATATATATATATAAAACATACATAAAAATAAATTACCCAACGAATCCAAGAAACTTTTTAAACCCTATCCACATTAAGTTAATATTGTGATTTATTCCATTAACTGTCTTTGATTTTTCATTTTCAATATCATTACTCTCTTCATTAGCAGGTGTAATCGAATGTTCACGCGATAACCATCCTCTAAATTTATTTTGGTCCAACCTATTTTGAGAAGTTCCAACGTCATCACCATTCTCAAATTCTACTTCAGAAAATTCATCTTTCCCTTCATTGTCAAAAATTTTTTTGTAAGGATGGTTATTATCATTATTCATTTGTGATGAAGGAATGATAAGATGGATAGGATGAAGTACGTGCGTGCGTATGTACGACGGTATTTCTGGAATATCGGTTAATTAAATGTATTTGTGTGGCTGTGTACTAAAACTTGAAAAAAACACGATTCTGATTTAAGCCTCATAAAAATTTTTTTAGTTCCATAATATATAATATATAATAATAATATATAATGTATATATATAATAAATAATATAATATATAATATATATACAATGTAATAAATAATATATAATAATAATATATATACAATGTAATAAATAATATATAATAATAATATATAATATATATACAATGTAATAAATAATATATAATAATAATAATAATAATAATAATAATAACTTTCTCTATCTGTTAGGGAAGAGCCACAAAACTGTATAGTTTACATTAATAAATTTGGATGGTGCTTTAAAATTTTGCGGGGGTGGTCGCTGTCTTATTATTGATGAAATCAGGTTTATTAATCCCCGAATGCTTGTAGCAGTAATGTACATATATTTATGCGCATTTATCATTATTATACAATTCATATTTTCGTAGCTCTAAAGACATTCGCCAACAACCCCGAGGCATATATAATTAAAATAATTGTCGCAGCTGATGCTGAAAACGGCTGATGCTGAAATTTTTTCATATTTTATTATAAAATTATAAAACACTTTTTTTTCATAGTTAGGTTAGGGTTAGTAGGGTAGTTTTATTAATAAAAAAGTATATGTGGATTTTAGTAGGTATTATAGATTTAAATAGAGACCCCAAATTTCAGCATCAGCATCAGCTGCGACAATAATTACTAATCTCAAGTTTTTTTTGATTAAAGTACTCAACCAGATTATAAATAAGCAAGTGATAATAAGCAAGTGATTAGAAAGAAAATTGGTATAGTGCTGACATCACAAATAAAAATATAAATAATAGATACTGAATTTTTTTCTGAAAGGGTTATACCAAAAAGAGATCACTTTTTAGTTAATCACTTCATGTGACACTTTACAGGCTCATTCTGATACGTAATCTTGAAGATGATTGTTTTTTTCTTAGTTTATACAAGAATAAGAACCTAATTAAAGTCCAAACTTTAGAAAATGTAAACTACCTTTCCTTTTTTTTTTGAATATTGTATTATAAGTCTGTCAAAAAGAATGAGAAAATTATGTATTATGAACGTCAACTTCAGATTCCAGTTAGCAATACCTTACATACTGTATTCTCTCAGATGGAACCAATGACTGAAGAGATCTGCTGTATATGTATTTAACGGTGTAATCATTGCATAAACTTTCCCTTTTCATCACTCAAATTATAAAGGATAATTTTCGCGACTTCCTACATTACAGCTGATTTCATAAATTCTGGGCCAACTAATAAAGTTAACCGATAGTCATTCGAACGAATTTAAGAAGGCTTTGATTTTGGCATGATCGATATATAAAAGCATAATATTGATAATATTGATAATGATTTCATCACGATATTTCTGTACTTTATTTCTCTTTATATATTATGAGATGTTATTGCAAGGGAGTTATAGGTGCTCGTAGATTCTCTTGGCATAGTTAAATAAAAAATATAAAGAACTACACAAGGAAGTAGTCTATATTTAGTAGTAACAAATTCATTTGTTATTAAACCAAAAAAAAAAAAAGTTATATCTAGAATTACCAATTGAGGCTCCTGTACATATAAGTTTTTATAAAATCCTTGTCCATATCACTCTTTAAAAGCATTAAACCACAATAATAAATGCTTGTATCATCCATTGTTTTTTTTTCATAACCAAAAAAACTCGAGCACGTGGCAATCAATAATCGAAAAACTTTTGTTAGAGTATTTTCTTGTATAAATTTTTAAAAAATAAATGAATTTTTTTTTTCAAAATGAACGTTTGCTTTTTGGACTTTTCACACTGCTACTGCGTACAAGATTTTTTGTTGGCCATACTTTGGAATGTATAAATCTGTTTATTAGAACTAATTTATATAAATCAAGACGGATGCTTGCCTAAAACCATATATGCACAATTTAATTAGTTTATTCAGAAATTTATGGCAAAGATTGTTCCTGTTAGCCAGAAACTTGAGATGTAAAAAAAAAAGTCCTTTCTAAAATAGACAAAAGTTCTTCAACGCATGAAATTGCTTGAGAATTTAACCTACAAACCTTTCTAAAGCCTTATTATTGAACTGGCAAGATTTCTAAATTATTTGACTATTAATGGTAATAAAAATACGCATTGGATAAATATCGATAACACGGAATAAAAAAACTTATCTCTAATTCAGCAGCCCTGTAAAAATTTTATCCGAATTCTTTTCCATATTTCTTGTGAAAATCCGTGAATCTGCAACATGATCGACAAAATCTAGACAAGCCGAATAATCTCCATGATTTAAGGTATAACTTAAATTCCGTGAATATGCAACATTTACGTACGGAATATAAAACATGGATCGACTTTTTTCTTAGGGCAGAATCATCAATCATTATTGCTTGTTCTAGAATTTAGAGAACAGCTGTAATTTATTCGCTTATTCCGAGCTACATTTATATTTGCTAAGAAATATTACCACCGCTGTGGTATAAATATATCATCCGAGATACGATGTGATCGAGATGGTTCGATTTTTTTTTTTCATATATAACATTCGCATGAATACTATGATGATATAATTTTCCAAAAAAATTGGATTTCAAGCCAAAACAATGCATCATGAATATTCTTAAGTTATTTCACTTTAAAAGAAATACGTACGTACGTAGGAAATTTAAATCTTTGCGTTACACAATACATATCAATATATACACATATGTATATACGTATAACTGGGAATATTGATATGAGCTGACATGAGCCCTAAAAGTGTTCTTTTTACTGACAACGTGCATTTATCGTTATGGAGGATTTAAAACTCATTATTGGCAGTTATGACTAAATTCAGTTTGGTATTTTAATTAAACCTGTCAATCATTCATAATTAGAGTTCCAATCCGGATAAATTCGTCACCCATTTATCCGTATCTAATTATCCTAATAACCTGACAGGTATTCATGTCGGGGAAGATATCCATTAGCCATATATATATTCATAATTTTACACGAATTATATAGACGAAAATTCTTATAAAATGGTAAAAATGAGCCAATTTTACAATAGTTAAGAAATAAATTTCTCTAATAATTATCAATAATTATCAATAATTATGAAATAAACTACTTCAGATAAATATCATATACTATGTACAAAGAAATAATGAATCGAAACTTTAATTTTATATTTATTTTATTGATTTCACTTTCCGTTACCAATGCAATTCCATTCAAGAAAAGAGACATTCGGTTTGATGTATGCCTCGATGCACCTATTCCCAATGTAATAATTTCACCTAATCCACCAATTTCTAAACAAAGTGCTACTTTTAATATTTTTGGAACTTTAGATGATGATGTTGAGGATAATGGACGACTTCTTATTAATTTTGTTGATCAAGATGGGAACTCCTTAGGAAATAAGTCTACCACTCTTGTTTCTCCAACTGTAGCTGGAAATCCATTTAATATAACAACTATAGTTGAGGTACCAACTTTAACAAACACATACTCTATAGAAGTTTTCATTGAGAATCAAAATGGTCCATATATAATATCTGATCTGTGCATTAGCAACTATTTAATTCTTCTAGTATAATTTATTTAATCATATTCCATTGACTTATATTGCTAGCATATAGTTCGCGTGTATACAGATACACATTACGGATGATATTGATTAGCATAGTTAAAAATTATTATCGTATGGGTCTGACGTAACAACCCGTGCTTTTTTCGAAAGCTTATTCGTACGGGTATATATGAAAATCACATGATTTTCATATATACCCGT